AATATTTTTAAAAATCCTGAATTTCCCCTAGTGTGACACGTGACATATTTTTTCTAGGCATCTTCTCTATTTTATCCACCACCCCTCCAAAAAGTACGAAATTAAGCATAAATTATTCACTATAAAATAGTCATTTCTCAAACAAACCATAATTTTATAGCCTTCAATTTTGTTTGGTTACAGAGCTATCAAATAGAAAATCAGACCCCTCCTGTCACATCCTCGTTTTCAGGATTTGTTAATAGTTCTCCCTTATGTTTAATTATATATTACCTATAATCAATAGAAATCCAAGGTTTTCACATATGAAATGATGTATTGTATAACATTGTGTTCTGAACAGATAGTTGTTAACTTCACTCAGAGTACAAGCTATCTTCCCATAGGAAAGCTGATGACTACCTTGGATGAATTTGTAATGCTCTTGTCACATAGTTAAAAAGCCAGAAAATTTTTGAGAATTAGGGGAAATTGTGTAATTTTTTTTGCATGTTATTAGTCTATGTTCTTTGGTGCATTATTTAATTTGATAGAAATTACTTAGTACATTAATACCATTAGTATATTAAAAATTTGGGTTAAGCGTCATCAACAATCGACAGCAAAAAAAGAAGATTGGGTAAGTACTTTATTTCATGTTTATTATTTATTTATTATTGTAAAAGTAACTAAAATGTAAAAATAAATATCTTTTTAGGTTAGTTCAGGTTAGATTAGGTAAAATAATAATAATAATATGAAAAAATATATTTCATGAGGCACGCACATGAGCATCTCGTGGGTAATGTTAATCGATAGCATAGCTTTCGATGCATGTTCTCCGAGTGATTTGCAACTTATAATGGTATAGGGTTAGGGTAGAGAAAATAACAGATAAAATATAAAGTTTACTGAAAACAAGCATTTCAAATGCATTTAGGAGGTTTTAGAGATTACACAAATGATTTTTGAGATGAAGAAAAATATTTTTAATCTTAACATGAAAATCATTCTGCACACATACTATTCAAAACAAATATGTGATATATTCAAGAACAAATCTTTTTTGTTTATTAAAAATACTTCACTAAAAATATGATTTTTGTATGTGAAAGACTTATAACGTTTACTGAAAGACTGCCAAATTTTGTTACTAGTATCAAATCTATAAAGACTTGGAACGAGTACAGAGAGGTCACATGGTCGGTCAAATTGGCCCGAGCCCGTGTTGAGAGAGTTAACTTGATTAATTGATATAATCCATTATCTACGAGCATATGTCATATTTATTAGTGTTGTGTAATATAACCGATTAATCAAAATTGATTAAATTTATTACAGTCATGAAAATAATTAAGTAAACAAAATTGGTGTTTTCAATTATAATTCAAACTGAAACTAGCCAAGTAATCAAAATATTGTCATTATAAGTTCTCATTATTATATTTCATTATTCCGACTATCCATGTTTCATGTATGAATAGTTGAATGTAATGGATTAATGAGCTCATCAATTGATCGATTAGCAAATTTCACTAATCGCCAAGTTCTACATGTCATAAAAAGATATTGGAAATGTGCTGAAACACAATGAATTATTGCAGTACTAGGAAATACCTAGTAAGTTCTTTTTCTAGGTTGGTGACAGTATAAAACATTGGCTTTAAAGATTTATGTATTTTATAAATATTTTGACTTTATTAATAAAAAACTAATATAAATCTAAGTCGAAGTGTTAAATACCAGTGTACCTTGTATGTTTATAACTAGATAATATGCTGCATTTATTCTTGCCAGAAGTTACATTCTGTCTTCTTAATAAATGATATTCAATCTGGGACTCATGTAAATCCTTAGATGTGTAGATGAAGTAAACTTATGCTTATTTAAAATTATTTTGTACTGCTGTAATATTTATTGATTAACTTGCGTTATTACTCACATACTCTTGTTTCGAGATAGAATTATTAAAGCAGTCGAATTACATCATTAATTTAAATGTAAAGCTAAATGAGAAGTTCTTATGTTTTTATTTCTAGCTGGGTCGTATGGAACTCCAGTGGTGCCACCACTTCCATATGGTGCTGTGAGTATAAACAAGCACATTTTCGGTGTTCATGTTTAAGTCTCGTATTTAAGAATTTTTGTGTATTTATTCTCACCTAAAAGCTCAGTTTGAGAATTAGTGCAATGTTCATGTTATATTAGTAAACTGATATACTTTTGGAGGAAAGTATAAAATATAGGTATTCAAGTAGAAGAACCCTTCAGAATAATCATGAAGGGATGAATATGGTTGAAACACTGAAACGGAAACTTACAGAAACTCTCCCCTCGCAGCATTAAGCTGCTTCATTTACTAAAAAGTGGATATTAAAAAGAAATTATTTTTTTAAATTCATCTATTTACAAGTTTTAATGAAGGTTTGATAGGCTTTTTTTTAGATTGTTTTTTGTTCTTATATTAGAAAAATAAAAATTGTTATTGAATAGTTGTTGCTTTGTCTGTAAATTTCTAATGTAAGACTAATAACTGAACAGTAACATAACTTAAGTATCTAAGTTCCTATGGAGTAATAAGATATAGATTACTATACTGGTAATGATATATTTTTGTTTAAGAAAGCATGAAGCATAGATTTATAGTATAAAAGTGGTGAATTTTTGTGCTGAGAATATAGAAAAGTGCTTATTTGAAATAGAATTTGTTGCATGATGCACACACAATTTATATTTGAATGTAAAGTAAATTTGGTACCTTTTGATTATTCTATGATTCTGGTAAAGGTTCCTGCTGTGTATGTATACATGTGAGGATGAAGGAAATAACATCCTGGTTAAGAAAAATAGTCTTAACTTTTCATGTATTTGTGCAATTTCAGAAAATGTATGAGATGCTTACGTGCACTGTATAACTTTAGGTATAGAACTATTAACATCTGTTTATTCATAACGCCTGGAGACGGCTTGAATGGGTAATGAAGAAATACTTTAATATAAGTTTAACATAACAGCAAATGTACAATGTTTTGTCATCATCAGGTACAAGTAATTTACACTGACACATTTATATGTGTGTGTGTGTGTATATATATATACAGTATGGAACAAAGAGTCGCATGACTACGATATTAGTTGTCGACAACTAACGTAAGTAAGA